ATTAATTAAAAAGTTAACGAAAATTATTGTTATGTCTAATATACAATCTTAACTGTTTAACCATAAAAAAGAAGACCTTAGAAGAACCTTAGACCTTAGACCTTGGAAGAACCTTAGAAGTAAGCAAGTCGTAAAAGTTTCAATAATTATTGTGCCTGAAGAACTTCGACATTTTCCAATAATATATTTCCTGTCTATACGAAATCTGCTGAGCTAATGCTTATTTTCCGAATGCAATAAGGGGTATGCGATATTTGATTTTCAGAAGATTTTAGCGTGACTGACAACATGAGGATCGAAGTTGCTTTTAAACAATTTATACTGCTGTCCTAATTGAGGAATTGAAATGGATGCTAACTTAATGAACGCGGAATGACAACTTCCCAAAAGGACGTGATTGACAAATGGAAGGAGTCATGCCCAAATTCTGGATAAGTTGGAGCCATCTAATCCCGCTTTCTGATCTGCAGACTTTATTCCTTTATACGTCCCAATGAAAATTTCACTTATTCTTATTTGAAAAACGATGCACAAAAGAAAATAATATAATCTTGCCATTTGTTGATATTCTTTTGATTTGAGTTCATTGCAAAACACACTTTTGGCAATGCAGACATTTAAAAATGAACGTCGTATTTGTTGTACTGAGCATGTCGGATAAAATTAAGCTGGCAAACTTTGAATCTCTCCAACAAATTTCTTTTTTTGTGAGACAAGAAGTTATTATTTTGACATTAATACTATCGATGAAAATTGTTTAGATATTGTATGTTTCAAAGATTAGTCCTCAAAGTGAATATTAATAAATTTTGTAATACACTGTAATAAACATTTAGTTTGCTTCATAAAATTATTAAATCTAGACGCATATTTATGTTTCGATTAACGAATTTATTGCAAAACGAGAAACTATTGCTGTACTGACTAAAATACAAAAACAAACCAAATTAATTTTGCGAGGTTGCAAGATTTCCACCCCAGTAGAACTTCCAAAAAATATATCTGCATATTTTAACGGATATTAAAATAATACAGTTATATATATATATATATATATTGATTGAGCAAAGAACTTGTATTAAAATTTGTTTGTGGAAACGTATAGAATGTTGCAAAAGGCATTCGGTGAGCATTCCTATATCGAAAAGAAATGTTTACAAGTGGTATTAACAGTTCAAAGAAGGCACAGAACGCGTTGAAGACGAAGAACCCTCTGGTCGACAACCAACCGCAACCGACAAAGCCCGCATCGAAAAAATTAAAGATTTGGTGCTTGCAAACCGTCGATTTACTATTAGAGACCTTACTGATGATATTGGAATTTCAAAAAGATCGGTCAATTCCATTTTGGGCCTCAAACGCGTCAAATCTCGATTGATACTGAAAACACTGAATGCACCAGTTCACATTGTATTGATTCTTTGTGACTTTTTCGCCAAAAATGAAATCCATATCGTTCCACAATCACCGTATTCACACCGTGCGACTTCTGGCTATTCCCTAAACTCAAAAGACCACTCTCGTCGACTGAGTAGATTCAACGTGAATCGCCGCGCGCTTTAAATCCATCTCTGCCGATGACTTTTTAACCCACAACGAGGATTGGAAAAAGAGTTGGCATAAGTGCATTGTGTCCGGAGGGGATTACTCTGAAGGCGATGAAATAAATTTGGAAGATTAAATAAAGAGGTTTTGAAAAAAAAGTAATTGGTCTTACTTTTTGGGCACGGTAGTATATATATATATATATATATATAATTTTTTTGCAGACTTTCATATTTTTCTAATTCCACTTTAGCCCGAATAGAATAAATCTGATTCTACCGTACTAATATAGATCGAAAAACATAAAAAACAATATGAACTGCTGAAGCAAATATCATCCCAAACATTCATTACACTAAACCAGTAAATCGTTCGAAGTTGCGGGCAATCCCCTGGAATTGAACTGATAGGATTTCTATCAATTCCCTGAGGATTTAATAGATTTATCGTGGTTTTAATCGAGGAATGCATCTTAAATCAGATAAAAGCAGATGTTTTCTGCGGTCATAATCAATTACGATGATGAATCTTGATTTCGATGCAGATAATCGATTTTACAGACCTGCTTGATTTATTAGGAAATTCATATCGATTATCCAAAGGAAACGAAGAGATTTTAGAAGATAAGTCAGACATTGGAATATAAATGTTTTATATTTTATTTTACATTGAAAAAGTACAGTTGTTAATAATTCCAATAAATTTTGTTGTATCGTAATATTTATTATTAGTTTACAGAGTTTAGTAATAAACTGATACAAGTTTTGAAGAATTTTTTTTAATCATAATTAAATCAAAATAATTTTGTCTTCGGATACATGAATTCATTTTTTTCCCACCTGCTTCTCAATTCAGTTTATCGTAGATAATAAATTAGCATTTTTTTGTTTGCAGCCACAAGGAAGTTGTTTCTTGTTTAAATAATTTACAATGACGAACAGGAAATATAATACATATAAATAAATTCCTTTTTCTTTTTCTGCTACTCAATTCTTTTTATCATGATGTATAAATTGGCATTTTTTTGTTGCAGCCACATGTTAGAAAAGAAATAATTTTTTTTTAAAAATCGTTTGCATTGACCAACATATATTATTTATTTTCAAATCCTTCTATTATTCTCTCCCTATATATATCTTGTTCAAATTTTCAATCGTTCATAAAATACTTTTCATTCGTCCACTCAAGTTCAAATACATTTTTTTGAACTTGTAGTAGATGACACTGGATGTTAATACAGTTTTTTCGAATGTTAATTCAGTTATTAAATTAAATTAATTAATTTTAGTTTTTTTTAGATTGAACTTGCATATATCTATCAATAGATGGCCCCAAATAAACTTAAAAAAAAATGAATGAAAATTATTTATAAAGGATTTTCTGCAATAGAGTAAAAAAAAAGTAGGAATTGACTTAAATTTTTTTTTTTTTAATATTACTTGTTATTTAAATAATTTATATTGACAAATAGGAAATATATTGCGTATAGATAAATTTCTTTTTCTTTTTCTACTTCTCAATTCTTTTTATCATGATTTATAAATTGGCACTTTTTTTGTTGTTGCCACAAGTTAGCAAACAAATCTTTTTTTTTTTAAATCGTTTGCATTGACCAACATGTATAATTTAGTTTTGATAATTTACTTTTCTATAGATTGCATGTTTCATGGTCACGAGAGGCACAAAAAATAATAATAAATAAATAAATTTAAGAATAAAAATAAAAACTGTGAATTATTTATTAAATATACATTCCATTTCTTCAAATATAATAAAAATAAACAATATAACATAATGCAAAAAAAAAATAAAAAAAATAAGGATTTTGATGCTTGATTATTTTTATAAATTTTAATAAATAACTGTTTATTTAGCACGATTTTTTTAGTAATCAAAAGATTAATCAAATGGATTTTAATAATTAAATAGATGGATAAAAAATACAAATTATTCAATAAATATATGCATTACAGTTTTTTCAAATATAATAAAAAAAAAATAATGTACTTAGTGAAAAAAAGAATTTGATGCTAATCCTATTTTAGTCGTAATCAAATAATTAATCAAATGTATTTTATTTATCGATTTTTTTTTAATATTCCTTCTTAAAAATGTTTGTCTATAAATATGTATTGATTGAAACGGGCTTACTTATTTTAATGTATTATTTAACAACAACTAAATCTACTTTGTCTAGAGCTTTGTTTAAAATGGAAAATATATATTGTTGGAAATAAATGTGGCAAAAATAAAAAATACTACATATAAAAAAAAAGCATCCAATCTTATATTTTCTATTTTATTGCAAACAATGCAATAAAATAGAAAATATACTATACTATTCAGTAGATTTTATAGTTCATTTAATTTTTAAGATAAATTTTAAAACATAAGATCATCATTTTCACGTTTAAAATATTCCGAGCGAAAGGAAAGAGAAAATTCAAACAATAAATCATAAGACAATAAGATTATAAGTCGTTGAGAAGAAAATCAGATGAAGTCGCCAGCATAAGGCGAAAAATATGACGCCAAATTAAAGACGATTTCGCCAAGTAGTAGACTGTGACGCCAATTAATAATATCCGTATATCATAAAGAGTTGATTGCTTTAAATTTCATAGGCATTTTTCACATTTCCACAATTTTCTTTATATAACGTTTAAAAACACAAATTAATATGCACGTGGAAGTCAGCAATTTTAAAATTGGAAAAGATTTAAAAGAAGCTAAAATGTAAAAGGCCATTTGTGTTGCCCCTTAAGTAACGCTGAATCTTCTGCCTTTTTTACTGTTTACACAAAATATTTAAAAAAGCATAACAAATATCTCGTCTTAAAAACCCTAAGGCTAGAATTTTTGTAAGTTAATATTAGGATGAAACGATATTTTCAACATTGAAAATTAAAGGCATCTAATTCGTGGCCCAGCATGTAGGAGGACTCAGGTTCGAAGTCACTAGTGGCGTCCGTTGCAGCCATTAAGAGACTCAATGGTGATTATGACAATGTATGTAAAGCATCTCGCATCTATTGTCAAACTGTTTGGTGGGAGTTTTACAGGTTTTCTTTCACCATCTCGCAAATTCGGGGTAGTGATTCCTAAAAATCTTGTTGTTTTTATCCCACTTGGTAGACAACAACATCTAGATCAAGTCCAAGAACACATGTAGTCTCCTGGAAGGAGGGAAAGGGAGGAGAGAATCTTCTGTTGTGATGGTGCACATGTAGGTAGAAATCTGACTGCGCACCGTGGCACCGACTTTTTAGGGGTAGGATTGTCTGCTCTAAGCCCAACAGTCATATTAGACAGGGACTTACGGTTTAAAGTGGATTCCGAACCACTAGAAACATCCATGACATCGCCGGGAGTCAAACCCCAAACCTGTGGCACTGAGTGCCAGAGCGCTAGTCACTTGGCCATCCGGTTCTTAAAACTTTGAATACCAACGTACACACTGTGTTTCTAAGTGGTCACCCTCCCAAGTACTGACCACGTCCCGATGATGCTTAACTTCGGTAATCGAATGGGAACTGGTATATTCAGCATAGTATGGCTGTTAGCTTAGAAAACTTTTAGAAATGCAATATAGAGGTTTTGCATAACGTTTTTTTATTGTCCGATATTTTTTTCTTCCTAGCGCGCATGCTCATAGGAATATCTCAGTAGTGCAATATTACAGATACGCATGCGCAATAGGTACAATGTTTCCTATGAGCATGCGCGCTGGGAAGAAAAAAATATCGGACGATAAAAAACGTTATGCAAAAACTCTTTATTATCTTTCCGTTACCGCTCGCCAGATGATCCATACCTGTATACTTTTCCTGGTGCATTATCAGTGATCTATGAGTTGGGTACTAATTTACTTTGCCAGAAACGTATACTCTAGTACCACCAAGTACATAGCTCACAATATTTGGGAAATTACAAGAATTCATTACAGATTTTGACGATTTCGTTACAAATTGTTATATATTAAGATTGTCTCTCAATTTACTGTATACAAAACCTAATTTTTCTCAATTAGTAGTGAATAATGTTGTTGTTGTTGTTGTGCCCCTCATGGAAGGAAGGTGCAGCTTCTGTTCTGATGGAGCACCTGTAGGTAGAAGTCTGACTTCTGCTCCGTGACGCTCTTACAGTCATATGAGACCGGGACCTACGGTTTAAAGTGGATTCCGAACCACTACAAACAGCCAGGGCACCGCCAGGACTCGAATCCAAAACCTGTGGCACCGAGCGCCAGAGCGCTAGACATTCGGGCATTCAGGCCCAGTGAATAATGTCTTATGATGGAATGATGGCGAAAACCTGGGCCCAACCAGGGTTCTTTTCCTGATACATTATATACCCTACTACCACCAAGTACATAGCTTACAATATTTGTGGAATTACAAGAATTCATTACAGATCTTGACGATTTCTTTACAAACTGTTATTTTTTAATCTTGCCTCTTGATTTTATTTATACAAAATCTTAATTTTACCAATTAATAGTGACCTGTATTATGGAATAAGGGCAAAAAACGAGAAATTTAGTGAGAATCAATTCTTGTGAAAGATCTAGAAAATATTCATACTAAATTAATTAATCTCGTTTAGAATAACAAACTGTGAGAATGAAATTCTCTAGAAAAAAGGCCAACATATTTATTTTTAATTTAGTTATCTGTGTTATAAGCCGGCTAAGTTTAATAACGATATTTTTTTTTTACATATATGAAACAATTTCGTCTTGTTCCTTCAGAAAAAGAATAATAAAAACATGGACCATAAGTTTTAAACAGCATGAATTTAAAAAATCTTCACCTACTTGATAAGAATAATAGTAAGGCATAGAATATTATTTTTAGAGCTCGAGTGCTTATAAAAAAAACCCAAATAGATTTAAAGCATATAAAAACTCATTTATTATTAACTTCGGCCAATCTTTTATGCATTACTCCCTTTTTGATTGCAGAACTGAAAAAATAAAAATTAACTTTTGTTATACCTAACTGTATTTTAATATAATTCTGAAATGATAAAGTTGTTGGTGTATGCATTAACTATGACGAAAAATAAATAAACAATTAAATGAAAAATGAAATTAAAAAATTCACAGGGAAATGTAGGGATTTTAGGGAAATTTATTAACATAATAAATGCGAATAATTGTTTAAATACCCAAAATTTTAGAAAAGAAATGTTTAATATTTTAGGCATTTCTATTAAAATTCTTGTTAGCACTTGTGGACATAATATATTATGGAAAAAATGCAAATTAAATTTTTATAAACATCGAAGACCATTTAGGTAAAAAAGAAATAAATTAATTAATTAAAAGAAAAACCATATTTATTTAGAAATTTTATGTTAATTATATTAAAAGAAAAATAATTAAATGATTTAGAAAATTAATTAATATTTATTTAGAAAATTAATTATAATTAAATGCTCAATATACATTAAAAGAAAAACGAGATTTATTTAGAAATTTAATTAATGTTAGTAATTACAGCCTGGACATTTTATTTTATGTTTTCCTTATGTTAGATTTCTAACTTGACTTGACTTGACTAAGAGGTTTGAGATTCACATTTTTATTAACGCTGCAATTGATGATAAACGTTTTAAACCTTTTTTAAGATTTTTTTTAACTTTTTTTATTTGAGTTAAGGAATTGTTTCATTTGGTTTTATTAAAAATTTGTCAGTGTTACAAAAAAATCTGAGAAATTACAGAAACAAATTTTTAGCTAATTTAATTTTTAACTACACATGCAGAAAACGGGAATTGGACAAGGATTGGAGCTATTTGAAAAACAGCGATTTGTATTTTTGAACTATGGTGTTGAGTTCGAAATCTGATTAGAGAAAAAACAAGTAATATAAAAAATTTTTTTTTAAAGTCAATTCCTACTTTTTGTTTCACTCTATTGCAGAAAGTCCTTTATAAATAATTAATTAATTCATTTTTTTTTCAGTTGATCTGGCGCCATCTATTGGTAGATACATGCAACTTAAATCTAAGAAAAACTAAAATTAATGAATTAAATTTAATGAATATTTGAAAAAACTGTATTAACATCCAGTGTCATCCACTGCAAGTTAAAAAAAAATGCATTTGAATTTGAGTGGATGAATAAAAAGCACTTTATGAACGATTGAAAATTTGAACAAGATATATAGAGGGAGAGTGTGAGCTAATAGAAGGAATTGAAAAAGAACCAAGTATCACATCAGGGATGGGCAAGTTAAATCCAGAGTTCAGAAATATTTCCATTAGACACGTCTTTGAGCGGTGGAGGGATCGAATTCCCAGATTGAGAATCCAAGATGTGAGCTTAAAGTTGCAGTGGTGAGGATGCAAATTCCAACAGTATAATGCAGTGCAGTGGGACCTCTATTGACTGTACGCTGCCATTCCTCAAAAATATAAAATCTTAGGTAAAAAAAATTCAAAACAATCTTATTTCACTGTACGATATTTATTAAAAAAAGCATGTTACATTTTATAATGCGTCAGGCAAAGTAAATATTGTTGCTAAAATAGTTTTGATCTCAATTCTGGCTGGGAGTGTCCACTGAAGTTACTGCTTTGAAATAAAGAAATTTTAGAAATTGCTAGTTTGGCGTTTAAGTTGACTCATCAAGAGAGATTCCTAAGTTGGCACTTAGATTGACTCATCAAATTTCAAATTTCATGACACCGAGGTTGACTTTTCAAGAGATTTCTTGGTTGTCATCTAGGTTGACTCATTAAGAGATTTCTTGGTTGGCACGCAGGTTATCTCATCAAAAGATTTCTAGGTTGGCAGCTAGGTTGACTCCTCAAGAGATTTCTTGGCTGGTGCCCAGGTTGTCTCATCAAGAGATTTCTTGGCTGGCGCCTAGGTTGTCTCATCAAGAGATTTCAGGGCTGGCGCCTAGGTTGTCTCATCAAGAGATTTCTTGGCTAGCGCCTAGGTTGTCTCATCAAGAGATTTCTTGTTTGGCGCCTAGGTTGTCTCATCAAGAGATTTCTAGGATGGCGCCTTCCAAATTTTTTTCATTAATATACATTGAAAGTGGGCCTGAATGGCCTAGTGGCTAGCGCTCTGGCGCTCGGAACCACAGGTTTCGGGTCCGAGTTCCGGCGGTGCCATGGATGTTTGTAGTGGTTCGGAATCCACTTTAAACCGTAGGTCCGGGTCTAATAGGATCGTAGAGCTTTGCAGGGGCATTGTTACTCCGCGTCCGTGGTTTATCTTCAAGTTACACGCACCCCCGGGGTAATGCAAAGTGGGTAACGTCTGTGCAGCGCTTGCCTTAAGGCATCCAAGACCAAGTGCTATCTAAGTGTTTGCCAGCTGCATTGGAAAGAAAAAAAAAACATTGAAAGTTCACCTGGAAGTCCTTAAACTTTTATTTCTCTCTTGTAAGTCTACTCTGTGGTGTTATTTTGAATAAATCTTTATATATTGCAAATCTGTTGCTTAAAAGCCTAAGATCAAGTGCAAAGCATTGAATAAAAAATATTCTGGCTTCAATGAGTTATTTGAATTTGACCGAAAAAAAAACACAAAAGAAGAAAAAAAAAGTTTTTTAAGGCAGTAATAGTTTATTCTAACTAATAGGAAAGTCTGAATTTTGTTTACTAATAGGAAATTCTATCTACTAAACTGAATTACTTGTTTTGTTTCGCGATTAAATTTTCTATTTCATTTTGCAATAAGTATTCATTTTAGTTAAAACTTAATAAAATGTAAAAGTGAATTAATTAATTATGCAAAAAAGGATGAAATTAAATTTTTAATTAAAAAAATCATTCTTTCAGAAGATATTTATTCGATGAAAAATACTGCAATGCGTCGTTTGAAGCAACTGATATTATCAATATTATATTAAAGAAATGTAATAAAGGAAAATAAATAAGAATGATAAATAAATCTTAAATTGGGACAAAAATTTATTCCAACTATTGCAAACATTTTTCTGTAAGCCAGTGGATCAATATATATCATGAAATTTAATGGAAAAGATATATTGATGAGTTTGCAAAAGATTCACATCTTTGATTAAGAGTTTGAAAACAACTTTTTCTACGGATTAAAAAAATGCAGTTTTAAAGAATTATATGCACCTTAACAAAAAGAAAATTAAGAATAAAAATAAATACCTAAAAATCATGGCATGGTTTTTAATTTTAAAGAATTTATTTTTGAAAATTAAAAAAAAAGCAATTATTAAGTTTTATATAAATTCGTACTGATCAGAATTTTTTATAGTTAATACAGACAGCTGAAAGGCAATTACTGAAATTCTCGTAAATAAAATATTTCTTTTTTATATTATGATTCTCACGATGTTTTTGTTAAATTTTTCTATCGAAATAAAAATATATATGCACATTAGAAAACATAAATTACTTTTCCGATGCCATCTTTTTTTTACATTAGGCGATAATTAAATAAGACTTCATATTTTGCCAGTACTTGTAGATGATTGATCACAGCAAATTCAATTAATTTTCAATATTTTGTGAAAATATTTTCCATTGCATTTTGCTCTTCAAAAAATGCTGGCAAATTTTAAAA